AAGTGGGTTAAATGGGAGGGAGGAGAGCTTCCATGTGGGAAGGCAGGTTTGGAGGCTGAGTATTTCAGCTGGTCTGAGCCCATCAGATTTCCAGGAACTGAGACAGTGACTTGGACGCCTTGTACTTTTATCAGTCCCTCATGTTGGAGACCTTCACGTGTTGAGGCCCTTCATGAAGAGGTGCTAATATTGCCTTCAACAGTTGTTTCATAAGCAGACACGTTTCTTTATGCAATTGCATGAGGCTGGCTGCACTTGCAGCTAAGGTTTGTGTGTGCAAAACAAGAACAGAGGGGATGGCCAACACAAGATGCAGGCAGTAACGTTGTACCACATCACCAGAAAGTACAGTCTGAGCAGAACACAAATACTGTATTTATCCTCGTCAACAGCAATCTCCTGGAATGTGCTCCTGACCTGTCCTGGGAGAGTGTTTCCCATATTGCATTTGTTATTCAGGCTTCAGGTTTGGTTTATGAAGGTGAATTGCAAATGGCTATTGTATTACCTGGAGCAGATGGGGGTGAAAGTCATCCCCCTGGGCTTCAGGTTTCCTTCAGCGGATGTGAAATGAAGGGAGATAGATTTCCTGTTATCTGCTGTGCCTCCATCTACAGCACCCTACATCTGCACCCTCATGTGAGTGAAGGCTCAGTAAAGCAAGATGTTTGCATGATATTACATACCCCAGCGGCAGGAAAGGAGGCATCAGGGCAAACACTCACAGCTCTGGCGTGCTCAGATCCTGAGGAAGTGCTCAGAAACCTCTGGGAAGGCAGGCTGTGTGCAGCAGGCTGTGTGCAGCAGGTTGTGTGCAGCAGGCCCACGCAGAACCAAGCAGGTTATTTTCTAAAGGGTTTTTTTCTCTTCTTGTTTCTGCATATTCTTGCCAGAATAAAAATCAAGCCTTGCAAAACTCCAGAGAGCGGGGGAAGAACAGGCAATCCTGCGCAGAGAGATTACACAGATCAGTATCATCACTCCATAGATTAGAGAGCATCACTCTTGGGTTTGGGGTTTTTTCCCCCTAACCAGTGGTTTTTATTTAGGTTCTAGAGTTGGGGTTTTGTTGTTTGGGGGATTTTTTTAAAGTGTGTTATTTGAAAGGTGAAAAAACTACTAGACAAAGAGTCTTCTAGAGACCACTCTGCATTTAATAGTCATGCAGTTATCATCTGTATTTTGCCCCTGGTAAAAGCAATATATACCCAAAAGTGATCTGTTAAAACACTTTGAGCTCCTTGGATAGAGAAGTAAATTATTAGTTCAGGCAGTCTAGACACTGTGCACTGAATGGAGGGTCACAGCCCATGAATGTGGGTCAGTGAAGAAGTCTTTGCTGGAAATTACACTTCATATAAATACAAGTTTCAGTGAGTCTTCCCCCCACTTTTTATCAACTTCTCATTAAGGAAATTGCTTGCCAACTGTGTTTCTTTGGTTAATGCTTCAATGTTTTTAGGTGTTTGGTATTTTCCCTCTTAAGGGCCAAGCTTACAGATAGATACGTGTTAAGTCGCAGCATCTGCTCCAAGAATAGCTAATGGAATTGTTTTTCTGCATTCAATCATGAAGGTAGAGGTTTCTGTAGCAGGATTTTAAGTGTCTTATTGATTGCCCCTTACAACAAGCACAAAAGCAGTTTAAAAAACAAGGCCTGAAGTCTGTAAAGGAAAAGGGAAAGGTGGCCTGAAGGGAATTCAGGCCCTGATCAGGTGCAGGGACAACCTGTGAGCTGTGTGCTGCAAGGAGGTGTGACCACCAAGTAAAGACACAACTTTTGTGTCTTGGGATGATGTAAAAGGATTTCTTTAACTTCTTTGGGACACTAGAGACCAAATGGAGCAGGAGCTTGTCCAGAACATGTGTCTAACACCCAGGTGTTGGGGAGAGACTCTGGAAGTGACCTTGTCTCTGTGTGATGCCGAGTATCCTCCAGGTCCCAGGAGGTTGAAGGGGACCTGGAGATCAGCAGGGTTGGGTCTTTCAGTCTTTATCTTAGTGGTGCAGGAAAAACATAAAGGATCTCTTTGTGACCCAGGTAGGGTCACATAGAGGGGATGGCTGCTTGCCAAGGGCAAAAACAGAGACAAAAGCCCCATTCTGGCGCTCTCTCAATTCAGATGCTTTTCCTTTGCCTCAGACATGGAGTTTTCCTATTTCTCTGGCTGCTTTCTTCCCCGCCCTCCCTGAAGAGGATAACTTGAGAAGTTCAGGTCTCTGAGATGAAGGAGCTCAGCAAACTTTCACGTCGGGGCTGGTAACCGCACCGGCCGTGCGGCAGTGCTGTAATGTGGGCGGTCGTGCACCAAAGGCCAGGATGAGATCACCCATCCCCGAGGCATGTATTCCTGACCTCACCCTTCTCTGTCATTTGTTGGCCGCTGAGGGGTTATTATTTCCATCCCTGTCCTTTTGCAGTGACACCGTGATACCAGGATTGCAGCAGGAGCCTTGTGCCTTCAAAGGGCTCGGTAACGTCAGCAGGATTTTATCTGCTGGGTTTTAGGTTCGGGCAGGATTAATCTGCTCCTCCTTGTGTGTGTGCTCCCAGTTCTCTGGTCACGTTCACCTACTCAGTGTTAAATGAAATAAACAGTAATGTCATTAAAATAATAAACCTAAATTAGATCCAGACATCCCTCAGTGGCTCTGAACTCGCTCTGCATTCCGGCATCAGCTCCGCTGGGCCCGCATCCCCAGACAGGAGGGTTAAAACAAACTAAACACAGCCTGAGCTCTGCACAGCGACTTCAGTGTCAAGTGGTAAAGGGAGGAAATTCCCCGCAGCCCACTTCCCTCTGAACTCTCCATTCCCTGCCTCCAGCCACGCAGCAGCTTCCTGGCTACGACACATTTCCTCATCCCACACCCCCTTCTCTGCCTCAGGAATTGCTAAATACAAACTCAGACGGGTACGAGGAGCTGCCTTGGGAGCAGAGTATGGGCTGGGGATGGTGATGGCCAGTGGTTTTGGTTCAGAATGGTAATAGAGAGGTTCATGAGGTGTGCTGACTGCAGCACTTGCCGGCAAGAACTGCTCTGTGATCCTCACTGCTTATTCATCTAATGCTTAGCAAAAGGGAGCTTTGGTTTCTTCTGAGCTACTTAGACATGAAGAATATTATCTGCCCAGTGTTACACTGTGATTCCTATTACGGATGGTTCTCTGCAGCTGAACTGAGCCACGCACCATATGTGGAATTTTAGTTATGTTACTGGGAGAAACGAGCCAAGACCACGGCCAGCAGCCGTCAGTGGAGATACACCAGAGAGAAATATACCCCGCTGAGACACTGGCCCTCGCAGTTTTGCTGGCTCTATGGGACTGTACTTCCAGTCCTAAGCATTTTGACAGCTCAAAGCATGGCTGCAAGAGGAGAGTGTCCCAGTTGCACGTGGCTTCTGCTGACCTGATGTGAGGACCAGCCTCCTCCAGCTCAGTGGTGGCAGGGCTGCCCTCTTATCTCCAGGAGCTGCCTGGACCATGGTGATGCTTGTGTCATCTTCCCTGTGAAAAAGCAGAATAACATGTCCTGTGTTCATTGTGGGAAGGAGGTAGTGTCGTTTCTGGCTGCAGAACCCTGGATGAGGCCAACAGCGATGGCAGGAGGTGGTTTTACTGTCCACAACATGTTATTTCCTTGGTCACTGTGGACCTCTAGCTGCAAATCAGCCTGTAGCTTAAAGACGAGGGTGTTTCCTTAGTGAGAAGTTAGCCTGATTTATGGGGGCTTGCTGTCTGCATACAGGTTATTTTTAAGGCAGAAGAGCTTTTAGACAGATGCAACGGGAAGACATGAAGAGTTTGATGGCATATGATTGATTTCAATGGCTTCTATTCATAATGTTTCATTCCCTCTCTGCAGGATGAGCAGAAGTGCATAGAAACCGTGGAACTGGAGAGTTATGACAAGTGCCAGGAACTGCGAGCGCTGCTAAAAAGGAAAAACCGTTTCATTTTGATCCGCTCCCCGGGTAAGAAGGTAGGATTGCCTTTCTCATCACCCTCCAGTCTGCGCACTCCAGAATGACTTCCCAGGCAGCTGTGCCCAAAGCAGATGAAAGATTGAGATTTGGCTCTTTGGCAGCTGGGAGAAATGACTTATAGCAGTGAATGGTGTATGGTGTGTAAGGAGGAACGCTACTTCTTGTAGACTTTCTTTTCTTCTCTTGACATTTTTCCTGCCTTATTATTTTCTTTCTCCAGTACTCCCTGAGCATTGGAGAAGAACCATTCCCTGTGTTACCTCTAGGTGAGGAGGCATCCCAGTCCCAGCTGTACATGCTGCAGCTTTGCCCAAGTTTCAGTGAAATCAATGATCTTGATCCATGTAAGGAGACTTCTCCTAGAATTGGAACCACTGATCTGAGAAACTTCAGTGCAAAGCTACTTACAGCCAAACAGTTCCTAGGAGAAAAGATTTATTTTGCAGAATTCATGAAACTCTAAATGTTTATCACCCTGTACAGCCTCTGGTTAGATCCAGAACCTCACAACCAGGCTGGTGTTGCAAAGAAGCAATACATCCATCTGAGCCCTGACTGCATGCAAGGACACGCTTGCCTTTCTTCCTATGCAGGTTCATCATCACTGCATATCTTTGGAAGTTCTCCTTAGTTCCTACTTACATGCTATCCATTTCAGCACCTTTATGGGCTAGGATGCTTCTGTTGTTGCTTTGAGGCATCACACTCTGACTTATTTTCTAATTGCAATGTGATTTGATTGGCCTAAGAGATCTCACTAAATCTCCCCGTGCAAATCTGAGAGGTTGAGAGGGACAAAACATACTCATTTCCATAAGAATGTGAACAGGCAAAAATATCACCATGCCTGCATTCCCCCACCTCCATTTTGTTTAAATAAATGGAGATTGTTTAGTCCTTGTTGTCATTGTTGCTTATTCTTTCACTCCTGTCACTTAGTGTTTATTCCTACAGTAAGACCCCAGCTGAGTTCAGAGCTTCATTGTGCTAAACTTCACTCAGAACAACAAAACAAAGACTGTCCTGCCCCAAAACACGCACATGGACCAGGGTGGGGGTGGAGAGAGAAGGTGAACGATTGTTTTGCAATGAGGGAGAAAACCTGTATTAAGCACCATAGTGATGGAAGTGTGTACCCTGGGCTAGTGAGCTCCTGCTCAGCACCCGGTCCTGGGGCAGTGAGTCTCTCCAGTCTGAATTGAGGTTTAGTGTTTGTTTTGTAACTTGATTAATCAGAAATCGTGTCTTTTTAGATCAGACATGGCTAACCCTGGCAGGCTTGGTGTGTTTTCTGGAGGGTGGCTCCATAACTACAAGTGCACACCTAGTCCTGGGGAGATGAATAAAAGCCTGTGTGCTCAGAGATGGGTGGCACAGTAGGAATTATCATTATCTGCAAGTATGTTACTTAGAAGAGCGTAATAGCTGTATATGTCTCTGCACTGCTCCATGAATCAACACAGGGTATGAGACCTGTTCCTAAACCTTTTATTTCTTGGTAGGAGAAAGATATGCCCAAACTGTGCCCTGAAATGGTAACTTCATCCTTTTGCCATGCTGGCAAGTTTATGGCTCTTCGGTTTTGCATGACCCTGATTCAATGGAGAAGATAGAGGCCACTTTTTATAAGGCTCTTTTGGTGAAAGGAAGGGCTTTTATAAATGAAAAGTTCCCTGTTTGTAGCTCCCCTCCCACCCTCCTTTTGGCTGGGAATCTGGTGAGGGTGTTGACACACAACATACTTTGGCAGATGTTAGAACAGGCTTCAATTAGGAGGCCAATGTACACAACTGTCGTTCTTCTGTTTTGAAATCGCAGCTGTGGCGATATATATCAGCTAAACATTTTCCATTTGGGAGGCTTGCTGCCATCCTCAGTTTAAAATCACCCTGTGAGCTGGCTTGCCAAGCCCTGCCAGACCTTGCTAGGGCTTTTTTTGCTCCCTCTCCTGAGTAGAATGCTGAGAAATGCAGAAATGTAATGAGTTTGTGGGACTTAAGAACAAGCTAGGAAAGGTCATTTCTGTCTCAGTGCACAAACAGGAGTTTCCCTCTTGGATACAGAGAGCCCAGTTTAGCTGTAGGGAAATCCCAGTTTAAATCTTGGATGGGATATTCTTGAAGAGCAGAGGAGATGAATCACTCAGTTAAAACTACTCTGCAACTAAAGTTGCACCCAAATAAGTAAGTTGCCTTGCTAAACACTAGTCTTTGATGGATATACCCCAGATTCTGCTTGCCCTGTTCACAAGGATGACATTTTTGTTAAGCTGTGACAACATAAGCATGTCACACGCCTGCACTGGTATAGAACTGAAAGAAAGCACTACCCCCTGAGCTTTGATTCTCCAGCAAAGGAAGCTGGCAGTGTGCAAAAGACCCGTTCTGCTTAGAAATCTCAAATGCTTCATTCTGCCCACAGCAATTAAATGAAAACTGTTGGATGCAGAGAGCTGAGCCTGTAAGAAAAGGCAGCAGCCTCGGCTTGAAGACTTGAAAACGTACTCATAATGCAAAAAGCAGTGGAAATCATGTTTGGTGTAAACTGTCTAGAGACTACAGAGATTGCACAAGTCTGGTATTCAATGGGTCTGAAAGCCTTCAGGTGCAGGGAGGTCTTAAGAGTGGGAAGAAAAAGGGTGGTGGTAAGGTAATAGTCCACGAGCAAGTGCTGCAGCTCCCCACACATCGCTTCCTAGCATGGCCAGGCACAAACTCCTCACCTGCATCCATGGATGGAAACTTCCAGTGCTTATTTTTTCCTTAGTCAACTTTTGGAGGTAGCTGCAGCTGCCTTCAGCAGGGGCCAAGCCTGGAAGGTGCAGTAAGTTGCAGTGAGGCATGTTTGCCCTGTGCATGGGGGTCTGTTTCCATGTTTGCCCTGTGCCCTGGGGTCTGACGGGCAGAGATGCTGTGTTATTCCCAGGGATGATGGAGCTGCAGAAAACCACAAGAGTCTCCTAACTGACAGTCCCTTGGCTTCTACTTTTCCCTCTAGGATCTAACCTAAAATCATGTAGAAGAAGGCAGGAGGAGACCTCACATCTGGCAGATAGACTCTGGTGGACTCTTGGTAGTTTATGATGTTATTAGCCCAGCTCTGCTCTGGCTTCTGCTGGAGGTGAGCACTCTGTACCAAAAGCCAGCAGAAGGGAACACATTCCCACACCTAAACCAGCAGCTCACAAGCAGTTCACAGGCCAGTTTAGCCCAGTCCCACTGAACTGAAGCCAATACAGCTGAGGAGCAAGCACAGGATTCTGTTGCCCACCTCTGCTGCAGATCAGCAGCATGTAGCAGAATTACTCAGCGAAGAGCTAGTGTTGATAAAGGTCTTAAACTGCAGCTATTCAGTTCTCCAGAGCTTGTCTGTTAAATCATTTGGTGCAGGTAAACAGAATGCCCACAGGAACAGTTCTCTTTCCTGGAAGGCAGGATCAGCATAGCCATAAGACTGTCACTGCTTGAGGAGACTGATGTCTCCAAGAAGACATGGAGCAGTCAGGGAGACTGTGCTCGCTGCTGTCACAGATAGTGACCCGTGTGTGAGCCTCTCGTTGCATGACACTAAGCCAGTGATTCAGCAGGCCACTGACTGGCTTAGGGAGGGGAGGAAAAAAAAATAAATTATATGTTCCAGCATGTTGTGCTCTGGGTTAACTGACAGTAAATTGCGTAGTGTGTATTCATGGCTTACAATGGTCACTATCACGTTAGCTTTAGCCATGACAGCTTTTCCTGGCACACCAGCCGGTTGTTTATAGCATGACTCAGGCTCAGCTGGCTTAGCAAGAAGGAGAGGAAATGTGTTATCCTGCCTGCTGCCCTCTTATAGTGGTGTCACTGACTCTCTACCTTAAATTGCTGCTGCAGAACAGACCCTGCTTAACCTTTTGTGGGGACTATCAATCTTCAGGTGCATCCTCTGATATCTGTGAATACCCAAATGAGTACAAATACAGATAAGACAAATTCATTTGTTCCTTGTTTGTAGAGGACCTGGGGGTCTCAGACTAGTGAACCCAGTGGCAGGCAGGACTGAGACAACTCCTCCAGCTCCTCCTGCCTCTGCTCTGCAGCCGTCTGCTTTATAGAGCTTCCACCCTGCTTCCACCCAGTGCCATGGCCGAGGATGTGAGTCACAGATGAATGCAGACAGACAAGGGACTGCAAGGCAACAAAGAGGCTGCGGCTGGCAGCATCCTGAGCACCAGCCTCAGAGCCCCAGCAGCCTGCCTGTTCCTTGGTATCTGTTGGTATTGTTCTAAAAAGGAGAAAAAAGTCTTCAAGCACAGACAACACTGGGCATACTGGAAGGAAGCTGCTGTGAGCCCCAAGGCTGCTTCCCCTCTGTGTCACAGCCCCAGGGACTTGTGCAAGCAGGGAGCAGGGCTGCAGTGGTGGCACTGCCTGCACTGCCCCATTGCAGGGAGCAGGATGCCACTCAGAGTGCTGCCTGTCCTACCTCACCCAGTCCTGCAGGAAACTGGAGAGTTATTCCTGCTTCTGCCTTGGGAGCATCTTCCCACGAGTCCCTTTCCCTCACTATCTGTTGTGTTTAGTGGCTGCAGCAGTAGGTCTCTGTTGTGCTGTGGGGCAGAGGGTTGCATGCCAGAGGGACATCTCAGCTTCTCATTAAAGATGAACCATCCCCCCAAGGCTTTGCTCTGTCTGGCCACAGGGCTGCTGACACCAGCACTTAGTCACACTCTCAGAAGCTTTATTCGGGAGAATGAGGCACAGAAAGTGGCATTGGAAGAGGAAGCTTGAAGTGAGGCAGGAATCCTTCCCTCGAACAACATGTACAGAGATTTCTAAACCCTGGTGCAGGCTGCCAGGTCTTTGCCAGGCAGTGCAGCAGCTCAGCTGCTCTCAAGTAGAGCTTTCTAATAAGCTTTTATAATCACAAAGCTTTGGGGCAAAATCGTTTCCAAACAAAAAGAGTTTTTAAGCACACATCAAAACAGGCCTGCTTGGACTAAAACAAAACCTGGCTGTCACTCTGTTTTGGAGCCTTGCCTTCCGTTACGTTCCCTGGTTAGTGTGGCCCCTCTGCACCCCAGACAAAGGGCTCTTTTTCCAGAGGGCTCTGGTTCAGGCCCTAACCTCTCCTCTGAGCTCTCAGGAAGACATGTGGTCCTGTCACCTTATGTGCAAACTAATTGAGTAAATAATCTTTCACCAAATTGCTTCTTAACTCCCTACTTGCCATGCTGGGTGTGAGGGTCTGGCACTTTGTCGCTGTGATGTGCAGAAGTAAAACCACAGCCTTGAAGCAAGGAATAGATGCAGAAGGGAAGGACAGTGGGTTTCTTGCTAAACACCAGGACTGGTGTAAGGAGACCAGGCTTTAGTTCCGCAGAATTTCTGATGGTACCTTTAGAAGTTGCTGAGACCCAAAACAGTTGCTGCTTTGTTGTGTCATAATCAAAACAAAGAGCTGCTAAGAGCATTCGACTGTCAGTCACCATTAGCTTTGTCACCCTCATTTTATATTGTCCCTAGTTTATAGAGACACCGCTGTGATTTTAGAATGTGGGGCCTCATTTACAAGAAGGCTGGGACTACAGCTGTTCTTGAAGGCAATGGGAAGGTGCAGAATACATACAGGATGTTAAAGACCAAAAAAAAACCCTATTCCAAAGGAGACCCCACTTGTAAGTGTTTTGAATGAGCCTCTCCTTAGCTCACTTCCCCATCTGCAAGAGGGGGATAATTTCAGTTGCTCTGAAAAGTTAATCTGTGAAGCCCCCAAACATTGTAGTGATAAGCAGCAAAGAAAAGACTGTCAGGGGAATCAGTAATTCTGTTTTCAGGGCAGAGTGTGATCAACAGAACATATTGACCCATGGGGATAGAACACATGATGGGATAGCTCAGTAAGACGTGCTGCCTGTGTCATTAGGGATGGTGCTAGGAGGAACATGCACTGCAGGCTGAGTTAGGACTGTCCAGCAGTGCTTACTTCTCACTTTCAAGTGCTTGATTTTGCAACTTTGATGATGTTCTTTAGCAGAGGAGTATTCCTGCGTGCCTGTGCAGTGTGGATTAGGGCACCACATGGAGCTATTTGGATCCAAGCTGGTCTGCTGTACAGCTACCTGGAAGGTGAAGATGATATTTCTCTCACCTGAAGTGTATGCTGGGGCAAAACTACATAATATGGTGAGGTGCTCAGAGAACACAGCACTGAAATAAACAACTTCCTACTGTTGTTCCTGCTGTGGTCAAGAACTGATTCGAAAACACTGAACAAAGCCATGGCACTGCCCTGGAGGAAGGGGAGAGCTGGCTGGAGCACAGGCCATACCATCACCCATTGCTCCCTCCTTGCTTGTGTCCCATGCTTCTTGCCAGTTCCCTCTAGTATGGCAAACTCTTCCCTTCCTCTGAGGGTAGCTGTTCAACCCCCAGAGCGTGTATGTCTGCAGCATTTACTGCTGTATTTCTTTGCAAACAGAAAAAGATACGGTTGATTTTTTCACTTACCTTGCCCTTATGTCTCATCACATCCATGCTCAGCTAAATTGGGGTTAGTGCAGCCAAGGTCAGAGACCCAGAGTCCTGTATCAGTTCTGTTCTGCAGAGCTGCAGAAACAGAGAAGCAGGCAGAGCCCACTGCACGCAGCCTTCCCGTTGCTTGCAGCCTGTGGGGAAGTTGGAGACAAAGTACTTCATTGCATCTGAACCAGCACGAAATAACTTGGACTTTCAATCTGACTCTATACACAGTGTGACCATACAACTCACTGCTGTTCTAAGAGCTATTCTGAGTGTTTTGCAGAGGAAGAAACTCTTACTTTCTTACTACTTTAGTTACTAGTTGCAAAAATAAAACTACAGCAACAAGCTGTTCAGCATAACAAAGTCGTGTTCATGGGGCTATGAAGTGAAGCTCTTGCCAAAGCACAAAGGAATCTGTAGTTTAAACACAGGCTGGAGCTGGATGTTATAGAGAAGCTGAAGTGACACACACAGAACAGAGAGCTGCCTCTCTGGTCCTGACAGACGACAATTGTCTCTCTGCTCTTGCAGGTTCATGATATCAAATTTCAAGCTCCAACTTTGGAAGAAAAGGAATCGTGGATAAAAGCTCTTAATGAAGGGATCAATAGAGGCAAAAACAAAGTATTTGATGAGGTAAGAGAAACGGTTTTCAGACTCCTGTATTTCCGTGTCAGTTCTCATCCACTGCTTTTTTAGCTAAAAGCAGAATTTGCCTGAGCCCCAGTGTTCCCTGTCCTTCCTGCATCCCAGCCATGGCCGAAGGAAGGAGAAAGATGGCATGTAAGGCAGGCCAGGTTGCTTCCCCACAGGATAGGAGTTCTTAGCCACTTCGGTTCCCAGCTCAAGAAGGTAAGGCATGTAGAGAGCCATTTGCACCCTCCTACATCTTGCTGCCTTTCCCTCTCTCCTGGCCAGGGTTAGATGCAGGGAGGCAGGGGCAGCTGGTTGAGTAGATGATGTGCCACTGGGATGGTCTGTGCTGCTAAGACCGAACATCTCTGAAGGGACCCACAGGACACAAGAGTTCACCACAGTCAGTGGGAGACGGGCTGGTGGCTTCAGTGGGTTTGGGATCAGTGAGTGTATGGTAGTTCTCTCCCAGTGGAAGCGGCTGGTGCAGAGAAGCAGCTGCAGCGCTGAGCTGTGTAAAGCTGGGGCTGCAGCCTGGACAGACCCACCTTCCCCACACTGCCATGATCCGCAGCACCAAGCAGCCTGGAAATGGAGGTATTTGATTAGGACATAGCTCAGTCTTGAAGACTGGAAAACTCTGAAGTGACTCAGTCCATCAGCTATTCTGCCTGCAGCCCAGAGAGAAGTCTGGTGGAAAGTTCCTCCATGGCCCTGGCCAAACCTGCCTGCCTCTCAGCTGGCCCCAGCATACCTGCGCTCCCAAATCCTCCTTCCAGCCTGCTGCACAGAGGGAAGGATGAAAATTGCACTGACAAGCCTTGCCCTGCTCCCTGTTAGCTTGTAAATCAGCCCTCAACTAAAGCAGAGGAGCAGCATCTATTCCACGCTTGGTTCAGTAACTGAAAGGAAGTGCAGGAAACCACCATCACAGGAATGACACAAGAAGGAACAGGCAGGGTAATGAGGGAAAGAAGCAATCAGCAAGATCTGTTTAGTGAAGGAAACAAAAGCAGTGAGTAAAAGCTTTGAGAAAAGGGCTAAGAGCTGCAGATATGGTGCTAGAGGTGTGAACTCTGAGAGCTTAGGTTTTGCTTTTAGATAGCAGAGGGCACAAGGAGGAGGAGAGGCTGGAGCATGCTCCGTTTTAGCAGGCAAATGGCACCCAGTATCAGGGTTTTGCTGGCAGTGGGATGTAGTGGTTCCTTGGACCAAGTGGGAAGAAACACGCGGAATTAAAGGGACCAGCTGGAGCACCAGCAGCCTGAGCAGACAAAACCCAGCAGCAGAGAGGTCAGCAGCCAGGTCTGCTCCCGTGTTTCGGTGGGTGGGAGACGTGATGTGCTGTAATGCAGCGACTGGAGGGGCCCAGCTCATGGCTCTCCGGTGGGCAGCGAGCTTGGCACCCCCCCCCCAGCACTACGGCAAGGTGGGATCTCAGGTCACCTCCCTGCCCTGTGGCTTGGGGTTATCCTCCTTATGGGGACCTGGGTTCTCAGAGGGAGCCAGCCTCTAATTCTCATTCATTCCAATAAGGATCAAACCCCAGATTTAAAGCATTTCCACACAGGCCAGGCACACGCTCATGGGTCAAGCACTCAGCTGGCTTGGATTAGCTGTTCCCTGAAAGAGCTATAAAGCCACTCTGCCATATCAGCCAGGGGCTGGGACCCATTTTTCCCTTTAAATCCCTATTTCACCCTCACCAGCTTTCTGATTGTACAAACTTGTGGTACAAAAACCAGCAAACCAAGGACACACTGATGTTTCACCATCCCCACTCACTGCTGCTGCCTCTCTGCATGGAGCAGACTCCAGCCCTCATCCATCACAGGATGGCTGGCAAGTCACAGAGCCAGCACAGAGAAATACCTGCAAGGGGCTGAGACCTCCCTCCCCACGTGTAGGGGGCAGTGGATTTCTCATCTGATTCCAGGAAATAGATTTGTTAATTCAGCTGGAGTTGCAATTAATGCAGGTCACTGCTCACACCTTCTCTTCAGCAGCCTGCCTTCATTAGAGCTGTAGAAGGGAAGGTCTGTAATGAAGCACTGCTTGTGCAGTTCACAGTCAGGTCACCATTATTAATGAGCTTTCACCTCTAAGATGGCAACAGCAATTTCAGTGCTGGGCTCTGCCACATGCAGGAGCTGGGCCAAGCCTGGGCCACAGTGAGGACAACAAAGCTGCCTTGTGTCCTTCCTGCCCTGCCCTAATGTAGAGGGGAGGTTATCTATGGCAAACCTCTGAAGGTTGGGTGCTTTGCTTTGGAGTGTCTGTTAGATAAACACAGCTCTATATACAACAGATACCTTAAACATCCATCGTGTACATGCAGGGCTTTGCAGGCAGGCTGTGTAAGGTCGGAGGTGTAGTGGTGAAAGTCATCCAAATGCTGCATCCCTTCCTGTGTGACAGTGAGAACTTCATAGACATATCTTGAGAAATTAATGACTCTTTCTTTCCCTCCTCTTCCCCCTTCTACAGGTGAAAGTGGATGAGAGCCTTTCCTTGGACCATGTAACTCGGGACCGAGTGAAAATGGCTCATGGACGCAGGCCACCCACGAGAAGCCACCTAAAGGAGGTAAGTGCACCCCATGGTGTGAGCCATCTCCCCAGCTGGGATCACCAAGAGCTGCTCCTTCCACTTAACTGCAAAGCCCCAGGGGAAACCCCTTCGGCACAGACAGCCCGGAGAAAGCTGACAGGGAAACAGCTTCCTCTGGGAAAGCCCGCGCCAGGACCTCTCAAATGAAGCCTCAGGTTCCCATAGACTGTAGCTGCTGCAACATGTTATGATATATTTAGCTTTCCATAACTCACGAGCTGGTTGACCATCTGGGGAGAGCCATTATAGTTTCACTGTAATCAGAAGGAAACGAAGCTTCTATATTTATTTTGTATGAAGTGCTGGTTTTGTAGCCACAGCGGTGTAAAGGCAGAAGAACTGCACGCTCTGTGGGGAGAAGCTGTATTTTTTATTAAGCTAACTGGAAAAAGCAGACAAGCTTTCAAGCCCTTTCTTAGGTCTGAAGCAGAATACATTATTCTCCCAGGCAGTTTTATGGACTTGCCTGTCTACAGTTAAGTGATGTTCTGGATCTGTCAGTTAGAAAAGGAAGACAAACCACCACAAAATAAACCTACAGTTCCTTTCCATGGGAGAGGTTCTTACTAGTGTTTGATTCCTGTGATTTATGAAAAAGTATCTACAGACAGATTGATATTGTAACAGAGCATTAATCTCAACCAAGTTTCTTCACTCCCAAGGCTCTGACGTACGTGTCTGCACAGCACTCATGACCCTCGTGCAGAAAATGAGATGCCCTGAGACTTTTCACTTTGCATAGAAATGGAGGGAGAATGTCTCTTCTGGAGAAATACATGGGAATGAATCATAGATTCCCATCCACTCCTCCAGAAAACCGCAGAAGAAAACATGACAAAAGTCACAGCAGCAATGAAGCGTGGATTCTCTGTTGCCTAATATGGGTTGGGTAAGGTAGGAAGCCCTTCCCTAAGCACTAAAAAGATCTCTCAGTGCTCAGCTCACTGTTTTCACAAGATACCTCCGAGCTTAATACCTGTAAGACCTCTCACCTTCAGCCAAATTCAGGGGAAACTGGCTTTACGAATTCAGAAGCAGGAATAAAAGCCTGCAGAAAGATGTGTATCACAGCTGCTGGCTGCAGTATCGCGAATGGGATGAATGATGATTTTCAGTGTCAAAGCAGGCCAGGTGAGGACGGGCCAGGGCCAAGCTGCCAGGATGCAGCTTGTCTCCATCTCTCTGATGGGCTGGAAAGGCAAAGAGAGACTTTAACTAAACTCTCTGCACTGCAGGAGTCTGGCCCTGGCTGCAGCTACACCTGGTTTGGTTTTGGGTTCCCTCACACAGGAACTGTCACCGTATTTCTCCCTATGGGGGAGCTTACACGCTGCAACATCTTTACTAAGTCCATCCTTTTTAGGACCTCCCCTTGCTAGAGTGATTTGCACACAGCCTGTGGTTCGAAGGAGGTTTAACCAGCTGAGGATTGGCCCTATTAAGACAGGGATGACATCAGGTTGGAAGAAGCAAGCAGAAGACAGTGGTATTACAACAGTATCCCTGGCCAAATGATCTAAAGATCAGATTGATTTATATGTTCAGTCCCTAAAGCAGAAAGCAGGTGTGCTTTGGGTAGGCATGTTGTAAATGATGGGGGTAGAGGGATCCAGCATCCACAGGGTAAAGAATTAAAATAGGCAACAGAAGAACCAAGAAATACTTTGGAACAGGCTTTGAGATGTTCTTCTCAAAGGAAGTAGCAAACATTTCTGTTATCAGCCAGATTCTTCTTGCAGTTTCAACAGATGTAAGTATAAATGGGGTGGATGTGTGAAGCAGCAACTCCTCGCTTGCCATGCTGGTTGTGGGGTTCTTGCACTTTAAGTTAAAGGGTGGAACACAGGATTGGTGTGGGACAGATACTGAGAACGTTCTCTCTTGTATTTCAGGCTGCCAAGTCTACATCTGATGGTATCCTGCGACTAGATCTGGATGTAGTAGACAATGGACGACCAAACTTTGATTCCACTATCAGTGAAAGTGACTATGAGCCTCCTCAGAAAGAGACTCCAAAGCCACCTATGCCACCTACAAAACCCACTGGCACAAAAGAAAACCAAGATGCAGAGAACAATGTTCCTGACCAGGAATATAAAAAGCCTCTGTCTCCTCCATTGCCTCCAGATAAGAAGCTGAAGGAAAGCATAACATCAAAGGACAGTGTAGATAGCAAGCAAGAGGACTCTGTAAGCCCAGAGGAGAATGCAGAAGGATCCCAAACAACAAGTGAGGAGAACAGCGAGAACCTCACTGAGGTCAGCAACAGGGGCATAGTAAAAGGTCCAATTCCTCTTCCTAAGAGCATGCCAGACAAGCTAAAAGTAGCTTGGGACCAACCAGTCTCTGAGCCTAAAAACACAGAAGACTTGAAATCATCAGGAGACAGTAGTGAAGACAACCTTGCTGAGATTGCTGCTGGAGATGTTACAAAACCTCCCGTCCCTCCTAAAGTTCTGTCAGAAAAAAAGCTAGCCACAGTGGACTCCAGCCATGGTGACCTGGAATCTGGGGGCTGGGAAGACCTGGAGTCTGGCAGCTCCAAGCTCCCAGTAAATGGGATTGCAGACAGTGAGGTAGCAGAGCTCACATCCCCACGAGTCGAAACTGAAGAAGGAAATGGGACAACCTCTGCTGAGAAGGAACAGCAAACCTCGGCAGAAGAGACAGATACTTCCTTAGCTACAGAAACACACCATGAGAGTGTAAAAGCAACTGTTGAGAAGAAAGAGTCTGTTGAAAGCAGTTCATGTCTCAAACTTCGCAGTTCTTCCCTGGGAGACTTGCTGTCTGATTCCAAAAATACACAGAGAGCACATCCAGGCCTAGGTTTCCCAAAGGATTCCCATCAATGCCTGGCTAAAATGGAGGAGAAAGTTGCTAATGAAAGGGAAAAGGCAGAAAAACTTCTGCAGAAGGTTTTACGTGAAGGGTTGGAACAGGCCCAGGAGGGGAATGGACCCCCAGTGATGGCAGAGACATTGCTCAATGAGGCAGTGGAACAGCTTCGGCAAGCTACACAAGTTTTGCAAGAAATTAAAGGTCTTGGAGAACTGAAAAAAGAAGCAACACAGAAACAGAAAGAAAAGCAAAAGGATCTAGTGACTCTTTATAGGAGAAGTGCGCCCTGACATACCCTTCAAAGAGATTTCTTTCTCGAAAACAAAGCTAAACATTTGCCATTTATGATTTGTAACTTTGCTAGGCCAGTGTTTGAAAGGTGGTGTTTTGCTGTGCACACACCATGTGTATGGGACAGAACTGAGCTTTCAGTTATAGCCTCTTTCTCTCTTTCTTCATGTTGTACATACCAGTCTGGTTCTAATCCTGTTAGCACAGCAGAAGGTTGCAGGACATTGAGCAGTTTCAGAAATGTAAATGCTCTTTAAGGACTCTGTCAAAAGTCCTTTCAATGGATCAGGCCTTAAAAATGCCTGGTAATCAAAGGCAGGTTTTGAAAGGAGCAGAATGGCTATTCTAGCAAAAGCCCCTGTCTGTCTGTGTTTACCAGATTACACTGGCACCAATTTGGTTTTCCCAGTTAAATAATTCAAGGATAGATGTAGTCAGTGTTTGTTCACTTGCTGGCAAGGTTTCCCAGGCCACCTGGCCCAGTGACATCCAGGAATGTAACGATAAATGGTTTAATCTTCTCCAAAGATATTCATAAAACCACATCCACAGTTAAAAAGTGACCTCACACAGAGGCAAAGAGCAGTGGCCAAATCCTGACTACAAGTAGTGTCCTCACATCTGGAGCAGCTGTGTGAAGGCTCTTCTGAGCCTGGCTCTGCAGAGCTCTAGGTGTGCTAAGCACTGCGTGAGTGAATGCAAGTCTCAATGCATCATTGCCAGGCAAGTATTAATTGTTCCTGTTTCATTAATAGGCAACTTGAGGCAAAAAGGTTACAGTTGGCCTTTGAAGGAGTGTCTTGTAGCAGCACCATGTGTTTATTATTGAAGACCATCCCTGTCTGGTAACTCTGAACCCCCTTATCATTATTGGGAACAATGAGCCAGGCATTTGGAGAGCTTTTGTCCAGGAGATTCCCAGCAGCTTCCTAAGAAAGCTGCCATTAAGAAGCGTTAGGGATGTGTGTTCCCTTAGCTGTAGGCCTGCTCTCTGTGTTGTCTTGGGATGTTAACTGACAGGAGCATGCACATCAGGCAGTAGGTCTGGATGAGATCCCTCTTCGTATTTAACATGTCTCTACCTGCTGTGTCCTGGCTAGCCTGAGAGCCACGGCTTGGCACAGACATCTGGAATTGGAGTACATGGAGGGAAAGGCATTTTGCACGCACAACTCTGGGGCTGGTCCCAGTGGCTTTAGTATATTAAAATAGAAATGCATTGCTAGAGAAGGGTTTGAGGAAGACATTGCAGAATTCCCACAGCTTCCTGCCCACGTGCTGAAAGCAACCACGGTTCCCCTGGTTTCTAGTGATTACAGCTGTGATAAAATAATGTCTTTGCACTGCTGCTGTGTGATGTACCTGTGCTGGGTTCCCTCCCCTATTCTTTATAGTTGCTCTGAGAAGACTCATATGACAGCCCAAAGGGCTTCTCCCTTGCTTGAGTCAGATTCTGGAAGCATAGAAAAAGGTGATCTTACCAGTGTGGTTTTAAGGAGTGACACCACCTAAGCTCTTCTCCCTCATTTGCCAGCACTGCCCTCTTAGCTCACCCATTTCTTTCTCTTCTTTCTTTTATAAATTCCCAGGTTCCACAAGGCTGCAGTGGGCTGCAAACACCCCCTATAGCAGCAGCCCAGTAAAGCTTCATCTGAGCCTCTTCCTAGGCTAGGCAGTGGGCACTTCAGGTCTGAGCACAGAAATGTTGGCTTTGGGCTTCCAAATATCCTGGTTTCACCACCCAGAGCCAGCCACACGGGTAGTGACTCGAGCTGATGCTTCTGCCTCTTAAACTAGCCTTGGTTTCAGTGGTCTGTCCCCCTCTCAAGTCAGCCACAGGTATTATATTGCATGGGAATTCATTTGTTATTCTGTCACGTGGAAGGTTCTACACAGCCAAACACTCAGGGCTCAGGTGCCAAAAAGCTTCACTTTGAGACAAAAAGTTTCCTACATCCTAAGCCCACTCCCAGGCACACAGCAAACTCTGGATCTGTGTCATTTGCTGCTGTAGATTCAATGTGAACCATGGGTCGTCTTCATCTTTCCAGACATAGTTAGGACAAGGGCTAATAACACAGACAACAGTCAGTGCCTATCTGCTATCTAAATGTATTTTCTGCATGTGCACTTTTGTTTACCGAACACTGTGTGGTATGAATGTGGGCTGTCAGAACCTGGTGTGCACTGGAAGTCGAGGGACATCAGCTCCAGAGAGCAGGCAGGCTTTGCAAGGTGCAGTGCTATAACAAGACATAAATTTGATGGGGAACAAACCAGTTCCTACTAACAGGAATATACACAAACCAGGGCAAACTCTGGGTACAGGTTCATATCCCAAAGCTGAAGCCAGTCTTAAACTCGAGGATGGGCAAATCGAAGCCTGGAAGCGAAAATCCAGGAGAATGAAAACAGGTTATGGAATAGCTCAGTCCCCTAAATTATATACAAACGCTTTTGCTCTCATGGGTGTTTTCTTGTGGCAGTGTGTTCTGTGGATACCCATCTGGCAAAGTGCTGATGAACATACCCAGACATCCCTATCTGTTACAGCCAAACTTACAAGATGTGCTTATATTTACTGTATATTTTTATATTATACCGAATATTCTAATGAATAAATGTCTGACATTTTAATGAATACTCATCAGTAAGAATCTTAACAGATAAAAAACTCCTGTATCTGTTAGGAAATGGGCAAGTTAAATCACTTTACAAGCTACAGCTAGTTACTGTAATTGCTGTACTAACAGAACTTACTAGATTTGTATTATGTCTTGTAAATAGGTATAACTTAAGTGGAATCTCTGTAGCACCCAGTAACTCTACTGCTGAAAATGCTATATTAGAGACTCTTTGCTTTTAACTGTTTTTTCTAACAGGGTTAGAAGTTTCATCCTAAGATGCCTAGCCTGGCTGTAAGCCTGATTCACCCAGACTCTGTAAGAAACAAACCCCATCATGTTTCTTCTGCACTTTTCCCACTTGTTCTTCATATTCTGGTCATGAGGCAGGCCTGGAGAGTGGGTTCTGCTGAAACTGCCCTCCGTGTTTTCATGCTTCTCTGAAAATGGCAGTGCTGGGCATCAGGGACAGGATCCTGGTCTGCTCCGACCTTACACAGCAATTCCCATCTTCAATGTGCCTCCTGTCACCATGCACTTTTCTTTTAAATCTTCCTTTAAACTTACATTTCAACTTCCATCTAATTCTGGCTGCACTAAGGCTGGTTTTTTGTGCCTGAAACCCCCCCCGGGCATGGGGCGCTGGGGTGTGAGTCTGTGTTTTGGGCTGTGCCACCAGGTTACGTGTCTGTGACAGGAAGGAAGCGAGTTTGCAAGCAAGCAAGTGTGGATGTCCATCTGAATAGCTGCTGCAGCAGCCCGTGGAAAGGCAGCACTTTGTCTCCTGCTTGTAAAGAGCTTTGAGATTTGGCAATAAAACCCCCTTTTAAATATTAACTGTTTAAGAGCCATTTGTCCTAAGCAGGAGCAAGGAAGAGCCACGAGGAGCAGCACATTGAGGCTTTGCTCTGGAGGAGGGCACATTGCATAGGCTGTGGTCAGCCTGTGGTGAGCTAGATGCTGTGCTAACCACAAGCCTGGAGGAAGGAGAAGTGCTGGGGGCTGCAGCAGGCACAGAGCTGAAGCTGCTGCTGCACACAGCGCAGTTTCTGAGTCATCCCTGCCTGCCAGCTTGGCTGCCCTGGCCAGAAAGCACGGCCAAGGCCAGGATCTGCTCCTGCTCCTTCTGGAAAGCAGTGGGAAGCATCCTCACCAAGTGCCATCTCCAGCAGTGCTGCCTGGGTTGCCCTTAACACCTTCATGTGGGCTCCCTGGTGTCTACAAAACGTGGAACTCACTCAGCAGTCATTCCCTTGGTGGTGAGCAGCCCCAGAGCCTCGTTCCTCTGGCCAGATGCCAGTAAGCTGCAGGAAGACAAGCAGGTACCATAGTGACTGCTTCCCTTCTGTGAAAACTGGGTAGAAACTGGTCAGTAGGTCCAAAAGTTACGAGGAAGCAATACACATGCCATCCTATTGTGCAAGCCCAGCTTCAGCTGGGTAAAAAATGTGCTTAGCAAACCCTCTATTCCCTTGCTGGGAAGGGGGCTGTTCCTCAAAGCAAGCTTCAAGACACAGGTTTGATTTCTAAAAATATACTATAGAGAAAGGCACTTTCTTCCTCTCACAGTAAGAAAACCGATCACACATCACATTCTGGCCTGAGACTGATGTTGGTAAGGGAAGGAAGTGTCTAGCACTATGTGAAACATGATTTAAAGAAAGGCAAAAGAAAATATGCACAGTTTTGACATATGAAATATTTGCCTGACTGCTTTTAATTCAATGGCTAGTCATGGGTTACTGGTTTGAAGAGACTGTGTTATCATGTAATCTGAAATACAAAATGCAAGTCTTAGGTCCCATCCAGTGATGCCACAGAACTGTTTGCAACTGCAAAAGAGCAGAAAGAGCTCTTCCTGTCCCAGAGTGCCACAAGATTTACTACAGCATTGGCTTGTCTACTCTGATGACTAAGTGTTCTTGCTATTAAAAAATGTGTGGTTTATCTTAAATATGAGTCACCACCAGTGAATCTCTCCAAGATTTCCTCTTTCCAGCTTATGAGTTAGAAAACTTGCAGGGACAGATGATGATATCCACTGTGTTCACAGAATGGAGATCCCTGTTTTGTTATGCTGTGCAAGTTCACATCCTTCAGAAAGCCAGTGCTTAATTTATTCTAGGAAACTTAGTCACCATGTCCTCCTAGCACCTTACCTCACAGCTAAGCAACCCACAATATTCCTGTGACAACTGCTGATGTGGTGCTACAAGGCATTAACAATTTCATTCTCAGCAGCAACCCCACTGTCTGAGATCAATGGTACTTTAAGCCATGTATTTTCCATCCCCTCCTGGGTGTCACAGACCCAGTCCCACCAGTTTCACTTCAGAGAGCAGCAGGAGGCTTCAGCCCTCGCCTCTGCTGTGCAG